ATGAGGAGAGGCTGAGGGAGCTGGGCCTGTTCAGCCTGGAGAAGAGAAGGCTGAGAGGGGACCTGATCAGTGTCTATAAGTACCTCAAGGGAGGCAGTGAGGAGGATGGTGCTGGCCTCTTTTCATTGGTGGCCACCGACAGAACTAGAGGTACTGGCCACAAATCGAAGCACCGAAAGTTCCACAGGAACTTAAGGAAAAATTTCTTAACAGTGAGGGTGACAGACCACAGGAACAGGCTGCCCAGAGAGGTTGTGGAGTCTCCTTCTCTGGAGATCTTCCAAACCTGCTTGGACGCAGTCCTGTGCCACGTGCTCTAGGTGACCCTGCATGTGCAGGGGGGTTGGACTGGATGACCTCTAGAGGTCCCTTCCAACCTTAAGCATTCTATGATTCTAAGTAGGAAGCAAGATTATCACTTTTCTTAAAATTAAACTTTGGAAGTATTTTTCCATAAAGTTACTGGGAGCTGTAATTGCAGCTGCTCGCCCTGAAGGAGCAATACTGTACACGAACGCTTGGGTGTTGCGCAAACTCGGACACCGGGACTGTGCTTGGAGGGGAGCGCAGCACTGAGGCCCGTGTATAGATCAAGAGCCAAAGGTTGGTTAGCTCAGCCCTCCACAAGCCGCCGGGGCCTCCGGCATCAGGAACGCCTATTCCAGGAGCTGTTGGCTGGCGGAAGGAGGTGTAGGGCAAGGACACAAGAATTTGCAGGCTTAACAGCATTCTCTGTAACATGGTCTTTATTAGTTATACTTGCTTAGTGCTTATGTTTCCCCTTAGGAAGTAGGTTTAAACCACCCAGATTACATATCTCTAGTACATACTACACGTAGGTGCAGCCATTATGAAAATACTATGGGCTAAATTTAACCTGTATGGATGTTAGCCCAGCCCAGCGCCCGCCTGCTGGTTCATGTTGCTTTAAGAACGGGCTTGCTTTCTTGTGTTGTGAACTGCACTTGTACTTTGGCTCACTAAGTTTCTTCAGAAAACTTTGCACTGTCAGGGTATAGATATATCTTAATCTTTGCATATTGCACTTTGTCACGTAAACTATAATGAGCCAGGCTTTTCCTTGCACTCGCAAATGAATTATGCACCTCTAAAAACAGCAGCAAGCACGGGCTTCCCCTCACTTTAAGCATCTCAGCTGCTGTGCGTATTTTTCATCCCCATGGAGCTGAGCCTCAGCATCCCTTCAACCAAGTTTGTTTCTGTTTCTCACGTCCGAGTGGCAGGGAGGCCTTTACCTCCTGGCGCGTGTGCATGGGCAGTGAGGGGCTCGTTTCTGCTTTGGGAGATCCTGCGGAGCACTCAGGCCTGAAACTGCCTTCTGAAGTGACGCTTACTTGCCAGACAGAAGGGAATTCGTGCTAGACAGGGGCACATGTTTCATGGTGCAGATGAAGCAGCCTTCTCTTCCACACTTACTTAAACATTTGCTTGCTTGATTTAACCTTCTGTAGCTACAACAGAACAAGAAATTGCATACTGTGATGGTTAGAACATCAGCCAGTTACCTTAAGTATTTGTTTCCTATTCTAATATGTGAGGGAAAACCTACTTGAAAGCAAGGAAGGAACATTAGTAGTTACAAGTTTTTCTGTCTGTTCCTGAAAAGCTGCAGGGCTTTAGCCGGCTCCTACAACCACTTGCTCCTTCCAGCTGAAGGCCGACGGCAGAGGCCGTGGCCACCGTCACTGCCCCCTCCCCTCTTTGCCTTCCTTTCCCCACCATCATGCGGAGCAGAGTGGAGCAGGGCTCCAAGGCCGCTTTGGAGCACAGCAACCAGCGCTGCTAAAAATACATCCGCAGCGTCCTTGCTCATCACCGCTTCACTTGCGTCACCACCAGCCCAGACCAAACCAGACCCTTTAAAGACTGAAAAATGCCAACAAAATTCAACCACTACCCTTTGTAGCAACTACTGACAGGCCTGCTAAAACTTCTGCTTATGATTTTATAATAGATAAGCAAAACCCTTTTCTGTGATGTGCAGATGTCCAAGGAAACAAGTTTGAAACCCTCTAGTTTAAGCCCACCCTTCAACCTACCTTGCTCCCCCCAGTCATAACTAGGCAGCAGGCAAACACAGTGCAGTGATTGCTCAGTAGTATTACAAGCTTAAACTTGATGCCAAATACTAGCAGTGTAGATTGTTCTGCACCTTCACATTCATCCCATATTCACATACAACACATTACATACATACTTTCATTTTTGAAAATAAAACAATTATGAGTAGCAGCAGACACCTGTAAGTGCACATAAGGTCTTTTGAGCAGGAAGGCTGGGGCAGCAGCTGCTCGTGGCAGAGAAAGAGAGGGGCTAGGGAAGGCAAACGAGCTGTGGATTGAACCAGCCTATCTGTAACCCTTGCATGGGGGTCAGTGAGGCAAATACAAAATTCCAACAACCCTATCTTCCACTTTACAAGCCTGCTAGTGATATCTCAGGGGGTTGTTTGACCTATTAGCTCAGAACTCAAGTCCTCAGGGAACAACAGAGAGGCAGGTATTTCAGTAACCCATGTAGCCTAAGCTGTCAATATTTTATCAGTTCCCAAAGTCTTTAGGAGTAGTATTTGTAACAATACCTGAAATAAATTGAGCAAATTTTCTTCACCTTAAGAAGAAAATCGTTATTTCAATCCACAAGACAAAAATTATCAAAAACAATACTGAAAAATAACTCAAATGGAGACACTATGCTTTATTAATACTTCTCCAGATTACATTTCTATTTCTAAAAAGAAAAATATAAACACAGCTGAAGAATTCTGTTATTGTTCAAGTCTTCGGAATGAACCACTTTATTACTTTCCATATACTTCACTGTTTTCAAATTTAAAAAAAAAATGGAAAAAAAAAAGTCAAATAATATTAGCTCCAGACAGATTGCATATTGAACACTGCTGGCTGGCAATCACTACTCATCAATTTCCTGATAAAAATCCCTGATTAAGAAGTTTGCTCTCTCCTTTAAACTTATAAAAGGCCCCATTGGTGGCACAGCCACTTGCTGGGACAAGAGCAGCTCCCAGATTTCTCGGTGCTCCCGTTATCCTGCCTTGGGTACCCACCCCCAGCCCCTGGAGAACGTGGAGGCGGGAGGCAGCAGTTTTCCACTTAGCACTTGCTGTTGAGCAACAAACACTTAGGGTCTCTTCGGAGCAGGCTCTTTAAGCCACCGTAAGAATAAGCTCTTGAGGAAACAGGAAAGGTAGCCACGTGTAACAGAGGAAGAAGACAGGAAGCTTCAACATTTACGAATGTAGATCCTTAAAACTCAACTGAGCCAGGTTCCACAAACAAGAAAACTGCTCCAATCCCTCCAAGGGAGCCAGTCCCACAGATCGCACAGCCCAGACCATGAGCAGAGCTCACTGCAGAAGCTGTCCATAAACGTGTCAATGCCACAGATCATTTGCTATAAAAAGTACAGTGTCTCATCTTCAGGATGTGTTTAACTATAATCCTGTACATTATATACAGCGACGTACAAGGATAGCTGCATAGCGCTTCCACTCCTCGTTCTTTCACAATGATGAAAAACAAAAAGTTTAAAAACCAGAGTCTGGACTTATAAATAGTGCAGAAAATGCAAACGCTAAGAAGACGATGCCTCCTATGATTGTCACTGAAAAAGAAAAGAACACAAACCAACAAACAATTAGATACTGAGCAGGTTGAATATCTTTCATCCCACAGGTCCATTGCAGTCATGTGTGATTCCCAAACGATTTGATTTTCACTTTGAACCCTGGATGTTATTTCTCGCTCAAGCAGTGTAAGACTTTCAATGTAATACTACAGTCTAGCTATACTTACAAGAATGTATTTTGGTCCTTCAAGGAAACTCAGTTTTCACTTGTACTGATTTAGCTACTGGAAAAATGGAGCTAATTCTTGCCATTGAATATTTCACTATATGGCAGTAAATATGATTATAATATTCTTGTGCTGAAGCAGCTCATCAGTTGCAGGGACACACTGCTTTGCATTTGTTGGTGTTTAAAGTAACTAACTGAAGTAATAAAAAATGCAACATCAGAAGTGTCCACTGCTTGCAGGGCTGCAAGCTGCCCAAGGTGGGGCAATGTTCTGGGAAAGCAGCGCTGTGTTTGCCCCATTCGTTTACTCTTCTCTAATACCTGTGGGGGGAGGTCTTTGCTTTGCCACAATAAGGTTATTGCTGTGGCCAGAGGCCTGTGCTGGGCTTGCTGTCAGCATTTGAGTTCTAAGTTACAGTAAGGCGAGTAACGTGTCAGCTTTAGGAATGGCTGAACCCCTGGCTTCTCCTCAGCCTCAGCAGTGGGGAGCAGCAGTGCAGGGAGGGCCCCCTCTCAGAGTGGGTGCCAGCAGCCCTGGGCAAAGCACAAAGTCTCCACTTCCTGATGGGCAGCGAGGGGGCAGGAGATCACACACTGAAAAATGCAACTGAATTTCCAAAAGCTTCAAGGAACACCCAACTCTCAAGCTTCTTCATACACTACTAGTACTGCAGTCACCACATGTAACTGTTGCCAGCACACTGCTATCTGCATCGCAGGCGTTACTAGCATGAATGCAAGCTTTGCCTTGAAGGAATGTTCACTTACCAGTCCTAACAGAGATCTTCTGTGCTATCATCCTCCCTCCAATGACTGCCAAGCCAGTGCACAGGCAGTGCCCAACTGTTCCCCCTACTGCCACACCATAGGGGTCCTGCAAAAAAGCACAGGAAAAAAACATCAGCACAGCTGAAAACCTGTTCATCTTTCAACAACCCCCATCACTGCACAGACTCCATCATTTTATAGCCTGCCAAGCATGCTTAATATTCTTTGGTGTTTACTTTGTGAGAGAGACCTGAATCTTATTAATACAGGAACATATGGCATGTTTCAGGCAAGAAGCATCTTAACATGGTTAAATATAGATTCAGAAATCACTCTGCTGAATGTAAGCAAGCATACAGCCTCTAGAGGAAAGGTGGTGGCTGTTGAGCAACAAAAGTACATGTCTGCTGGAGAAACGCTAACCAACTATTACAATTTAAAAACCCCGCGATCTGCAAATGCAAGATTCAGTAGCCAAGACATTCAGCTCCTCTGTCCATCTCCACAGACTTGTATTCTACCCCAAAATATCAACCAAAAGGGGAAGAATGAAAGAGAAAAATTAATTCCAGAAGACAGTAAACTGCTTTCAAAAGTTATTGCCAACAACAGCTTTTGCATCATTATGTAAAGAATTGCTACTTGATACATTACCAAGTCTACTATTTAAACAAGCTCCTCAGATCTGCTTATAAGCTATGCATTTTGGAGCAGTGTATGAATTAAATGCCTCATAAAAACAAAAGACAAAAAAGGCAAGGTAAGCAAAGCATTGTTTTCTGTTGCACAGAGATAAACTAAGGAGTGGAGTCCCCTGCAAATCCCTCCTTCAGGAAACAGGGTTAGATTTTTACCTCAGAGAAGTAAAGCTGCTGCTTTCACATGAGGAATGCATAAAGTCTCTAAGAGCCAAGCAAAAATTGTACTTGGGGACTGCTCTGATTCCAAAATGACATGGATTAACACCAGCTGGTCAAGACAACCCAAGCTACAAGGCAAAATAGCTGGCAAGTGTGAACAAAGAAGTGACAACCAGCAACTGACTGTCTGGGAAGCTCACACCTGGGGCAGGCTCACGGAACAGGACAACCACCAGTAGAGCTGGGCCTAGCAGAGCACATTCACCTCCAGAATCTGGAAGAGACTCAAGCAAGAGACTCCTGAGCCTGCTCATTTGTGCCCGGTCAGGAGCTACACATAAAGCCCTGGCACTGGCAAAGAGTGCATCTTCTGTTTCATCTTCTCTTCACTGAAGTATGTGTGGTCAGTGATTTACTCACTATTCAAATCAGAGCAGGAAGCTCATTTCTTTCCTCATAGCATTTCTGCAATATTCTTGATAGGTATCTGTATTTCACAAACAGGAATTTATCTTAATAAATTATGAAACAAAGGAGTACAAATTAATCTCACAGATAAGATGAAGGAAATATTCACGTCAAATCATTCACCGATTTGGAAAGCCAAGATAAAACATATTGCGGCAAAGGCAGCAGTATTCCCTAGTTTTCCGAGCTGGCTCTTAACTGCCTGAACAATGAGATCATTCTGGCTCTTTCTGCTGCTCCCGGCCTCACTTGCTCCAAGCGCTTTTTCTATTCTGTAACAGAGGCAGGAGGTTCCCACAGAGCAGAGCCTCTAGAGTCTCTTGCACTACACAGCCCTCATTTATTCCTACAGAAGGTCTAGAGGGCACCAAGTGTAAGTCCTAGAACAAAATGTAAATGATCTCAATACATACAAAGTGTGCAAGCAGGCTGCTTCCGCTTACTGAATAAGCTTTGATTTTCAAATAAATATATTACTGTTGCATGTATTTTGGTCATCCTACTGACTAGGGACTATGTTTGTCCTCTGTCTTTCTTCCCCTCCTTACTTTTGAGATGAAGGTGATGGTTTCATTTATGGCACTACTGCACAACAGTTCGGAATTTATTGTGCTCTCTACACTGCAAACGTGCATTTAGATTTTTAAAAAGAGCTACCTTTAACAGCAAAGTTTCTTAAGATTAAGGTTTCTTTATAGGGCTACTGTGTTTAAAACTATCTACCTCACATGTTAAAAAGGAAACAAGGTTCTGTAACATGTCTTAACATTGTAACAAAAAACAATTGTAGTCAACTGTACGATATAGAACAACTCTTTTCAGAAATGTTAGTACAGTTCAAATCATGGAATAGTTTTAATAAAAACATGTCTTAACATTGTAACAAAAAACCAATTGTATTCAACTGTATGATATAGAACAACTCTTTTCAGAAATGCTAGTACAGTTCTAATTATGGAATAGTTTTAATAATACACAGAGCCTCAGAGCATTTATTTTCAAGCCTCAGTGTAGCTGTAACATTAACTAAGGCAAAGCAAGGCTGCCGGTGTTAATCTGATACCTCAGACAGGGTTATTTTGCCCCCCTGTCTTATCTGTAAGCGGAAGAGGGCAAAAGCCCAGTGGGCATTGGGAAACACTCACCTCCCTCGCTGCCAAGACTATGGTGGAAACAAAAAAAAACATAAGATTAGAAATGTCATCTAAACAAACCAAATAAATGCTTCAATGCAAAGCCAGTCATTGATATCCGAAATGTTATTAGCCTCCAAACACTTCACCATCTGCATATTATTTATATTAGACAGCATTTGAGATGATGAGATGTATATTCTATTTGTAATAACCTCCAGCTTCCAGGTGCTGCCCCTCTGAAAGCTTGCATTTACATGCAGGAATGATTATTGGTTTCAAACTACAGATTCCCTCCTATTTTTAAAGCAGGGTTTCCCTCTCCCTTCCCCAAGGAGGCAAAAAATAAAACAGAACAAAAACAACAACCAACCAACCAATAAAAAGCTGTTCCTTATAAGTTTATGCCTTTCTAAGGTCAATTAAGATCTTGACAGTCTTAAGTGCTGACTTTCAAATGAGGATTGGTAAAATGAATTAAAAAAAAAAGAAGAAATAAGATTAATGTTATACACTACTTCTTGAAAGTGGACCAGTCTGTTTGGAAGGCTATAATGACAGAGACCTTGGCTGCAACGGCACAAATCTTAATGTCGTTCTACCTGACCATAAGAGAAATTAAAGAAGAGAAAAGAATAACTGTCAATGTCTTTTATGCTAATAAATAGTTTTATTAGCATAAAACTGGATTCTATGGAGAAAAATCTCACTTCTCCTGGCAAGACAGCCATACAACAGAACTGGAGTCATCTGCTGCAACAGTCTCCAGCAGCTACCTCTGCCTAGTTTATCACACATTTGCTCTATTAGATTCTTATCAGTCACACACACCGCAGAGAAGCCTGGGCATGAAACATAACACAGTTCTGCAGCTTCATGGCTTTAACTCTTTCCTTAACTCTAATTCACAGAAATTTGACTTACTTCCTCATCTTTTTTTTTAATTTCTGCTTGAACTTCCTCCAGTTCCTCCTGACCCTCATCTGGGCTCATTTTCAGGCCTTCTCGAAGCATTCTGATGCCAAAAATTGCAAAGAGTGCGGTTGACACATAGTATGTATACACACGGGGAATAACTGTGGTGGCATAGCCGAACAAAACTGAAAAAAAGCAAATGTGTCACTTCAAATATAATCATGAGGATCACAATTATTTTTCCCATACCTAGAAAATGCTCACTAGTAAAGTTTACAATTCAAATGCCCACTGTTGTTTAAATACACCACTTTCACTTAGTTTCATATAATTTTACATTTTTGCAATAACAACATTCTAGCAACTTCAAACATTCCTGGTCATATCAGAAACTGAGGTCTGTTAGCACAGACCAAGAATAGCCAGGCAAAGCTGATGTGCTGCTATTCTGAAAAGTCAAAGCAAAGTTATCTTTCCAATCAAGGATGGCAGGTCTTGCCTTTCTTCAAGCATGCCAAGTTAGATTAGCAAACCCTCTAAGATTAGTCACTGTCTGTATCAGTTAATTCCATTTACACTGATGACTACATGTTGGAAAGCATCTCTTTCCAACTTTTTTTTCCATTTACTTCATATGTCAAACATATGAACAGATAAAGTTAGAATACTATTTTCCACAAGACTAACTTACTAGCAGTACCCACTAGTGGCCTGAATCCATGTCCTTCTGCCAAGTGTAAATACCCACAAATTAAAATTCATCTCTCCCCCATACTCCCAAAAAACATACAAGGCCATCATTTTTGGTCTTTCTCTAATTTAGAAGCATTGATCAGGTAGAGGCATAAAAGTTTAACTTCCCATTCTCAGTCTCTGCTTTTCATCTACTTTTACAGGTACTGAACGTGGTCAATTTAGACTAGAATTAGTGCTCGAACAAAAAGAAATACACATTTCTTCACAAATTGAATTAGTTAGCATTTTGCAAAAAAAAATCTGTATAAAAAAGAGAAATTAAAACCCCACACCTAAAATTCAAGGCTGTTTATACCATGAACTCAGCTGTCCCAGCTGTTTTACTGCACAAACAGTTAGCTGAGGGGAAGCATATTACCACATATGTGCTTTCTCACATCACTTTCTCAGCTCAAATTGGGCTCAGAAGTTACTACAATATCCAGAAGTTTATCTATACTGCCACTGCCAAAAGTGAGACTATCAAACCAGGAATAAATTAGGCTGTAATATTAGTAAACATGGTACGTGCACACATGAATAATAACAGTCAAATAGCATCAAATAATTTACCTTAAGTTGTTTTTAAATATTAAGCACATAGTAAAGCAATGAAAGATAATGTTTTTGGAAAGATCTTTTCTTTCTAGTGTTGCCATATCCAAAGCATAGAAGTAAAATGATCAGAGTGGTGAAGCAACTTCTTTTGTCATGATGATAAAACTGTTTCTGAACACAGATCAAAAAAAATAAAAAGTATTTTTGGAGCCAGTGAGTTTAAGTGAGAAAGATTTCATAAAATTGAAGTGGGAGAAAAAAAAAGAAGAAAAATAGTCCCCAGTTCCATAGATAGCTTGTACAAAACAAGGGCCGAAGGGGGAAAAAAAAAAAAAAAGCCTCTTCTTTCTGAACAGGAGAAATAGTTGGGAGCCTCTAACTAGGGGTTAAATTAGAAAACTTTTATGAAAAAAAAATAAGAAAGAAAGATTTGAAGGAAGAAATCCTATTAAACCTATTAAGAAGAGAGCAAACTGCAATGGGCAGAAGGGGAACAAAAGAAAGCAAGACATGCAGAGCACAGCATCCTTTACCACACTAAAGAAAGTTAACTGAAGCAAGCAGCACAAAAGTGAAACAAGATCCAACGAATGTTACATTGAGTGACAGAAAACACTCTTACAAGGCTTTCATTAAATCCACCACAAATGGAACCTGTTCTACAACTGATATTACTGCTACACACCCAGAGAACATTCGGGAAAACACTAAGAAGCCGGAAGCCAGTTAATCTGCCGATTCCAGTGCATACAAGTCACTAAACACTATTGCAAATATTTCTTGAATAGTCATGGTAAGAAATGAGCATGTATACCATAAAATTTACGTGGCATCCAATGTATATACCTGAAGGCTGCCCCATTCTACAATTAAGGCTGTATAAGCATCCAAAGCTGCAGGGCCCTCAAGGGCTATCTGACACCTCTCTCCAAGCTCTTGCCTCTGTCAAGACTCTGGATCTCAAAGGATCATAACAGAATGTCTTTTTTCACTTACACATTCTCCAAAAAAAAGCCAAACTGCCTTCGTGCATGTTAAAAACACCACATACTTGGATGCAAGTCAGTCAAGGGAAATTTGTTGTCTTAGAAAGACTCCTTCATTTTAGGAAGCAATCATCCCTATGTTCTCTTTAGGCACCTTAATAGGGACTACAAATAGAAAAAAAAGAAAAGGGATCTAGTAGTCCAAAATCCATGGAGGTGTTTATGCTTCCAACTCCAGTGTTTCCCCGTAAACTCCTACTGAAGTCTAGTGAGTGTAAACACCTAGTCAGAAGTAAGAGTACAAATGCTGGATCTGTCCCCTCTGCCTTTCACATTCTCCTTCAAACAGGAAACTGCATGTTCTACTATTGCTTTCCATTTAATTTCATAATAATACACACTTATTTAAAAAGCCTATGTAATGAAAAGTGAGTGCTGACCTGATAAGCATGTCATGAGTCCCAAGGCGAGCATAGCACCAGCCAGTACGGTCAAACGGTTGTATCGCATTGCCATGATGGCCGCAATAAAGAAGGTCTTGTCCCCCAGCTCTGATACAATGATGACTGATATTGCAGCCACAAACGCATGAATGAAGCCCAAATTTGTCTTGTCAGGGGACTCTTCACTGACAATATGAACTGGAGCAACTGGCGAAGACCCCTTCTGTAAGAAAGGGGAGGGAAAAAAAAAAAAAAAAAAAAAAAGACTTAGGCTTGGGTGTTTATTTCCTGCAAGTAGTGAGCTCTGTAATTCTCTTGTTTTACCATATAGCCCAGTGCAGTGTTTTAAATGCATACATTTCATGTAGTATTAGCTGCCACTGCAAACTTCCAGCCCCTTAAACAGAATATCCTACCCCGATTACTAAAGTAATAACTTCCTCATGCAAGTTATTGCTACAGTATGAGAGTCACTATTACACTGAAATGGAAGAAACAACATCAGCTCAGTTCCAGCACTGCTGTATGTACAGTCCTTGGCTATTTACGTCACAATACTGGTAGCAACCAAACAAGCAATTTTCTGATAGTGACTGAGAATTAAACTCTTCAAATTAAAATGGGGCATTTATAATAGCTTAGCAGAAATGTGAAGTCCTTTGAAAAACATCACCATCACTTTCTTCCCTCGCAGAATCTCAGCATCTGAGTCGCACTAAAATTGTATGCAAGTATTCTTAAGCCTTCTTGACACGTGCTTATAGTTTTGAATCACCATAAAGACTTTCCAGCGGTCAAATCACTCCAGCACAAGTATCACTTATTAATCAAAGTGTTTACTTTTACAAAGCTAAAGAAACCTACTATCAAAAGCAAGACCCAAAACAAGGTGACCGGAACTGGCTGAGAAGTTAGTTTTAATACAGATTGCAACATGCTTTGTAAAGTGACCCTCTTCACAGAACTTCCTCATTTTAAAAAGTATCATGTTTTTTTTAATTACTCCTTTTTAAAGTTCTATAGGATTCATAAAGTGGTATGTTAATGATTTCTGTCCTCATTGTGATCCTCTGGCAATAGATGCCTCTAACCCAACAACAAAATTAAAATAGTTTTCAACAAATAAATTAACCTTAAATACTGAGAATAACTGATGGATTCCAAGTTGTAACAAAATATTCCCTCATTTGTTTATAACATCAGAAAGACCAGGAGAGCTCAGCTCCCCCCCACCAGCACATAAGCAAACATGGCTCAGTACAAAAATATTTATCCAGTAAAAACATTAGTTCATTTGGTCAAGCTTTATTGTCCAAAACAGTATCAAATATCATATCCCCACTTAACTTTCTACGAGTGAGCATCTGGACTATCATTAGAAAATAATTTGAGTTAGATGATGTCTCAACTCCATTTTTCATAATGAATCCCCACATTTCTTTTTTCAGCAGAAAAGATTATCATGAAGTTACATGAAGTTTTCGGACTTAAAAAAGGGAAAAAAACTAATTGCCAACTTTCACCTCACATTTATAATCATTTTATTATCAGCAGCATAACAAAGAAGCTACTGCACTCTCTTTGGTCTTTAACTGCCACCTCTGTTCTACCATTGCCGTTTGGGGGCTGCGCTGGGACGACAGGGACGCTTGCACAGGGATGCTGGCACCTTCAAAGCACCCTGCGGGTGAGCAGCCTTCCAGGCCAAGCAACCAGCACGCTGACAGTTTCACCATCAGCACGTGCCGGGGTCCTGGCTGTCCCCAGGCAGTCACACACCCATGGGCTGGCTGCGTGTTCCCGCTGCCTTTCTTGGGTTGCTGGGAATGCTTAGCCGGGGGTGTGGAGCAGCCTGGGACGTTCAGCCCCAGCTCATGCTCGCATTAGCACAACCTGCCAATGCTTGACTTGAAGAAACACAAACAACTCAACACTTGGTACCCTCTTCCCCAAAGCGAACGGGGCAGCCTGCTAGAGATCGCTGCTGGTGGAGCTTACTTTTGAAATTCTGAAATTCCTGCCTTTTCTGCCATCATTTGCTAGTCCTTACAAAAAGGAGTATTCCCCTTTCACTCCAGTGTTCATCAGCACAAGATGCACACCCTGTGGGAATTCACATTTTTAATTGAAACACCAGTGATGCCTATGGTAAGATGTTTTGTAACCTGAGGGCTGTCTTCCTGTGCATGTTTCACTTTGCCATACACTACGTGTCTCTGCTTGTCAGGCCCTGGCCAGCAGTTACCAAGGGCTGAGCAGTACCTGGGAGCCTGGCTAGGAGCGGCAGGAAGTTCCTCTCCGCGAAAAGCAACGGCAGCTGAACGTGGCTCTTTACGACATCTCCAGCAAAAAAAATATATGCTGAATGAAAACTACGTCTGATGTCTTGTGGAACGAGGGTGCTTCTGGGACAAAGTTAACCAGCTTTAATGCTAAATATATCTGTTCTAATTTCCCTCTCTTGCAGTACTCCCTGCAAAGTCCTGCTATTGACGTGCAGCATATCCCACGGGTGCAAAGGGCCCTTCGGAGGGATCCCGCGCAGCAGAGAGCACTGCTGACGGCGGAAGGAGCCCGGAAAGGCACCGGGACACGGACACTCACATGCGACAGCGCCCGATGCTCCGCGCGCAACGCAAGCACCGGGA